GTAGCGGAGAACAAACATCAACAACAATGGCGGCGGTCACAATAACTAGCTTTGTGGGCTTCCAGCGCGGGACAGAGGATAATTCTACACCTTCGTTCGTCCAAACGAGACCACGCAAAGCTCAAGGTTCAGTTTCCATTTTCACAGCTGCTGTTAAAATGCAGAATGATGTTGGTGCGTTCTGAGGGTCTGGCACAGGAAGTGAGTACACTGCCGAGAGGGGGGCTGGGCACGGGGCTGGGGGGTCGTGTGAGTGTTGTAAAGTTTCTCTGCCCACTACTGGCCGGGCGCTAGAACTACATCGTTTTTCAACCTCATGTGAACGCCGAGAAATTTGCATTAGGAGCCTGGTCGTTTCTGTTACTAGCCTGGAAACGTCTGCGCAGCGTCTCAGTATAAACAGGGCCTAAGAGTTTTCAGGTTATTTCTTTATCTTTAGAGACACCGATTAGCGCAACTGAAGGAACTCAATATACTTATTGTTGGCATTAAAATCCCTGCTCCATCATATCTCACTGATTTGCTTACTTAGTACACTCGGGGCAGAGCACTGAGGTCCTTTGACCAGCTCCTTCTGCACTTTACCAAGTCTAGACTAGTTTACTTCCAAAACTAGTAAACCTAGTTTTGGAATGGGAAAACATAGTTATAGCTGGAGACTTCAATATACATGTGGACGACAGCACTGACAGCTTAAACAAAGCTTTCAGCGCCGTACTAGATGGTGTTGGTTTTACTCAGAATGTCGAGGAACCTACTCACATTCATAACCACACCTTGGACCTTGTCCTGACCTACGGCTGTGATGTCTCCAATGTTGACATCCAGCGTCAAAGCTCGTTGCTGTCTGACCATTTCTTGATCACGTTTGATCTCGCTTTGGAGGACTTTCCTGTCCCGCAAGATAAAACCATAATGAAAAGAACCTTAAATGATAAATCTATCACAAGGTTCAAAGAACTAATACAGCCTATGTTGAATACTGCTGCAGGTGAACCTGTTCACAGCTGCAGTCCCTCAGTCCCTCAACGGTGAGCAACACTATGGAGTCTTTAAAATCTGCATTAAATGCAGCAGCTCCTTTAAAACAGAAAACCATTAGGATTAGATCATTGTCGCCCTGGTACAGTGTTCAACTCCACACTTTAAAACAGGACGTCAAAAAATTGGAGAGGCTATATCGCCACTCCCACTCGGAGCCTGTCCACAGGGAGTGGAAAGCAGGTCTCCGAAACTACAAGAAGGCCCTTCGCGGGGCTCGAACTCAATACTATTCAACTTTAATAGAAGCGAATAAAAACAACAGTAGATTTTTGTTTGGCACCGTCGCTAAACTCACAAACTGCCATAGCGCAATCGAGCCTAAAATTCCAAGCTCACTGAGCAGTGTCGACTTTCTCCACTTCTTTAATAATAAAATTACATCCATCCGTGACAAGCTGGAGGAGGTTGCTCCTGCTGTTAGTGGTGGACAGGTTGAAGCGGCATACGTGACTTCCCACTTAGACTCTTCAGTGGGCCTTAATAAATTCATGGCTGTGAGCCAAGCAGAGGTGATCTCTGTGGTCACATCCTCAAAAGCCTCAACTTGCATGTTAGACGCAGTCCCGACATGGCTCTTCAAAGACATACTTCCTTTGATAATTGAGCCTATCGTAAATATAATAAACGCATCCATACAATGTGGCTATGTCCCACAAGCTTTTAAAACCGCGGTAATCAAACCCCTTCTGAAGAAAACAAACCTGGACCCAGAAATACTTACAAACTACAGACCGATCTCAAACCTCACTTTTATATCTAAAATCCTGGAAAAACTTATAGCTGAGCAGCTCCGCTGCCACCTGCAGGAAAATAATATGTTTGAAGTCTTTCAATCTGGATTCAGAGCTCATCATAGCACTGAAACGGCACTAGTCAAAGTCACAAATGACTTACTACTAGCTGCCGATAATGGACAAGTGTCAGTGCTGGTCCTACTGGACCTTAGTGCTGCATTTGACACAATAGACCACAGCATTCTACTGCAGAGGCTAGAATGTGATATAGGTCTTAGAGGAACAGCCCTTGGCTGGTTTAAATCCTATTTATCAGATCGATATCACTTCGTCAATGTGAATCAGGACTCGTCGCCTTATTCTGGAGTGGAATTCGGTGTGCCGCAGGGTTCGGTACTCGGACCGATTCTTTTTACTCTCTACATGCTGCCACTGGGAAACATTATTAAAAAGCATGGAATTAATTTCCACTGCTATGCAGATGACACACAGCTTTATCTGTCGATGAAGCCTAACCAGACAGATCAGCTAGAAAAGCTCAGTGCCTGCATAAAGGACCTTAAAATGTGGATGACTCTTAACTTCCTACTTCTCAACCCGGAGAAGACAGAAGTGATCCTACTCGGTCCGAAGCGCCTGCGTGACTCCCTCACTAACCAGATGGTTACTCTCGATAATGTCAGTATAATACCCAGTAACACTGTGAGGAATCTTGGAGTCATTTTTGACCAAGAACTCTCCTTCAAGGCTTATATAAGCCAAGCAACTAAAACGGCGTACTTCCACTTACGGAACATCGCTAAAATTAGGAATTTCCTTCCTAAAAGTGACGCGGAAAAACTCATTCACGCGTTTGTCACCTCAAGGCTCGACTACTGTAACGCTTTACTGGCAGCGTGCCCTAAAGCCTCTTTGAAGAGCTTCCAGCTCGTTCAGAATACAGCAGCTAGGATCTTAACAGGTACCAAAAGGAGGGAGCACATAACTCCGGTGTTAAAATCACTCCACTGGCTCCCTGTGGAGTACAGAATAAAGTTTAAAATCCTACTCTTAACATATAAAGCCATAAATGGCTTGGCTCCCTCTTATCTCCAAGACACGTTAGTGTCGTATCAACCAGGTCGAGCGTTGCGCTCACAAAACGCCAGACGTCTGGTGGTCCCTAAGGTCTCAAAGGTCACTGTTGGTGGCAGAGCATTTAGCTACCAAGCTCCTTTACTGTGGAATCAGCTTCCCATTTATGTTAAGGAAGCAGATACGGTCTCCACATTCAAGGCCAGGCTTAAAGCACTTTACTTTAATTTATCATATAATTAGGTAATATATAATATGTAGTGTATATATTATATATATATGCTGTATTATGTTATATATTATGTTATATATTATTCAATAATGTATTGTGTTATGTTGTATATTATGTTATATATTATGCTGTATGTTATTCTTTATTCAAGGCTAGGTTTAAAACAGTCCTCTTTAGTTTAGCATATGGCTAGGAAGGTAAGACTCGGAGAAGGTTAAACTCCTCAGAGTGTCAGTCAAGCTGCATAGGGAGTCAGTTTTCTGGGAGAAGTATGGTAACTTGAGCACTATCCTCTCCTCCTTCCTACTTTATCTGTTTAGCATTTTTAGGATTCTGACTGTAGTTTGTTCATTGCTATTCACCCGTTGTCCCATTGTCTGTTTCATGGTACGATGACGGGATCTCTGAGCCTGGCCTCTTCCATCTACACCTGCGGACTGCCCCGCCCGACCCGCCTGGGAGTGCTTCGGTCCTGCACCGGACCTGTCCACGTTCAGCGGCCACTGGTCCACGTTCTGTAGCTAGCTTAGGTCCTAGATCATTAGCCTGTCCGTCCGGAGGAGCGGATCCCTTTCTCATATGGGTCTCCCTCCCTGTGGGTTTCCCTAGTTCTCCTCCAAGGTTTCTCACGTTTTCCCACTGGGTTTTTTAAGAGTTTTTCCTTGTCGATGCAGGAGGGTCTTGTTGGACAGTTAGTGTCCAACAGAAAGGATTGGTGATGATCAGGACACTTTAGCATTCTACAACATGTATGGACATTTTCTTCTGTGTGTGCTTTATATTCTTCATGTGTTTTAACTGTTGATTCTCTGACCTGTGTTGGTGATTTCAATGGTTTTGTAAAGTCCTCTGAGATGACTTCTGTTGTGACCTAGGGCTATACAAGAATAAATTGTATTGTGTATTGTATTGTATTGTAGGCTGACTCATCGTTGTTGGAGATGAATCCAATGAGGGTGGTGTCGTCCGCGAACTTGATGAGCTTCACGGAGTTGTGGCTGGAGGTGCAGTGGTTGGAGGTGCAGTGGGAGGAGGTGCAGTGGTTCGTGTACAGGGAGAAGAGCAGGGGAGAAAGAACACAGCCCTGTGGTGCTCCTGTATTTACAATCCGAGAGTCCGAGACATTCTTCCCCAGACGCACTCGCTGCTTCCTGTCCGTCAGGAAGTCAGTGGTCCAAATCAGATCCTTTGTAACTTCTGCTGAATACTAAAATTATAGCTATGTCACATTTCAGCAGGAGCACATGTTAGCATGTTAACATGTTAGCATGTTAGCCACACGCCACATGACTCTGAGGGGTTTTCTCTCCCAGTGCAGGTTTTCAGGCCACATTTACTCTGGTCTCTGTCCTCTCTGGTACACTGGTCTCTGCCCTCTCTGGTACACTGGTCTCTGCCCTCTCTGGCACACTGGTCTCTGCCCTCTCTGGTACACTGGTCTCTGTCCTTTCTGGTACACTGATCTCTGTCCTCTCTGGTACACTGGTCTCTGTCCTTTCTGGTACACTGGTCTCTGTCCTCTCTGGTACACTGGTCTCTGTCCTCTCTGGTACACTGGTCTCTGTCCTTTATGGTATACTCGGAGCTCTTCAGTCTTGGCCGTGGCTTTGGCAGCTTTCAGTGCTTTTTAAGTTAGGCACCCCAGCTTTAATGTCAACACGTGATGAATGTGACAATAGCAAGAAACAAAAACATGAAGTAGACTTTATCATGAGTCTTCTGGGAGGGTTGTGAATGTATCATAAAATCTATATCACGACCCACGGGATGAACGATGGAAATGAGCCTAATCTGCCATGTTTACTCTGTTCCATTCAAATAAACAATTGAAACATTTTGGTCCAAAGAACGGCACAAACAAACAGCTGTTTCTGAGATCAGTAAGAGCTAAAGCAGAGGCTAATAACAAATCTGTGATGGTGTGTGAGGGAGTGGGACGTGGTGTTTTGCCGCTGTCTCTGCCGCAAAGACGGAAAGACGAGCGGTTGGTGTCACGTTCTGGATTATAGCAGATTTATGTCCAGCAAAAATGCAGCTTCTGACTCCTGTCTCTCTCACACACACACACACACACACACACACACAAACACACACTCACACACGGAGCAGAGCGAGGACTGCCGCTCCTGCCGCCCCCCGGGAGCCCGCACCGCACCGTCCGTTACCTGAAGCGGGGCCTCCGTGAGGCTGTCTCTGCGGTCCTCCAGGTGTCCCCTGTGGTCCTCCTCTCTCCGCTCGCTTCCCTCTGGCTCCACGTTCTCCTCCTCCTCTTCCTCCTCCTCCTCCTCCTCTCCTCAGCAGCAGCAGCAGAAGCACCGCGTCAAGCTCCGCCGCCACACCGCGCACACGTCACTGTCCGCGCGTCACACCGCACCGCCTCGCGCACCGCTCACTCCCGCGGTTCCTGCTCCGTGCTCAGACATCCGCTGTTTCCATGTTTGACACTTGCACCAACCACAGAAGAATGAACCGTCTGCCGCGGACCACATGACGCGGAACAGCCCGGGCTTTTATTGTGAAGGTCTGAAGCGGAAGTAGATCAGTGCTCCGTGAGTGGTCCCCAAGCGGAGGTGCAGGGATGCAGAGGAGGTGGATGCAGAGGATGTAGAGCCAGAGGAGGAGGATGCAGAGGAGCAGGATACAGAGAAGGAGGAGGCAGAGGAGGAGGATATAGAGGAGGAGGAGGCAGAGGAGGAGGAGGATATAGAGGAGGAGGAGGACACAGAGGAGGAGGATATAGAGGAGGAGGAGGCAGAGGAGGAGGATGTAGTGGAGGGCGATGCACACTGGGCACACATTGATTTGCAGTGCAGAATTCTACACGGGTCAAAGCTAGAGTACCTGACTTTTAAATCACTAACATGTGTTTCAAATGTAAAGTAAAGTAAAGTAATGTAATGTAATGTGGGGCGTTCCAAATAAACTATGCAATATTTAATGGTTTTCAGGAGGATGTTCTACTTCCAGGTGGATCATCAAGACTATTGGTCCTCCCAACTGTCAATCATTCTGCTGATACCTGCTCGTCCAATCAGACCAGAGAGTTTTGTTCAAAAAGTGGAGAGGTTTTTTCGGTCCTCTCCTCTCCTGTCCTGTCCTGTCCTGTCCTCTCCTGTGCTGTCCTCTCCTCTCCTGTTCTCTCCTCTCCTCTCCTGTCCTCTCCTGTCCTGAGTGTGAAGAAGATCAAGGAGATAACTTTCCAGTGTAATTCACAAAGAGCCAGAGTGAGTTTTAGTAAAACTTCATCCATGAGCACTTCCCCATTGGGTTTCATTGAGCCAGCAGGTTAGCATGGCCCGTTGTTTTTATAGAGGGAGTCTGGCTCCCTCTGCTGGTGACAGAGAGAACACACAGCTGTAGTCTGGCTCCTTCTGCTGGTGAACACACAGCTGTGGTCTGGCGCCCTCTGCTGGTGACTTCACACAAATAAACATAATCAAAGCTTTTGTAATAAGGTGCTGTTTATTTCATATTTCACATCTGCCTCTCCCTCAGTGTAATACTGGAACTCAGGCCAAAGTCTGTGCCTCATAACAGGCAGTGTCCTGGTACCCCATGGTACCTCATGGTAACCCCATGGCACAACTCTTGTTTTTGGTTCAGTTTTGCTCATAAACTCTGCAGAAACAGAAAGAAGCAACAGTTTGTTTTAAGGTTGCTGCTGTCTCACCTCCTTTCAGATACACTCTCTTTATTCAAGGCTAGGTTTAAAACAGTCCTCTTTAGTTTAGCATATGGCTAGGAAGGTAAGACTCAGGGAAGGCTAAACTCAGACTGTCAGTCAAGCTGCATAGGGAGTCAGTTTGCTGAGAGAAGTATAGTAACTTGAGCACCATCCTCTCCTCCTTCCTACTTTATCTGTTTAGCATTATTAGGATTTTGACTGTAGGTTGTTCATTGCTATTCCCCCGTTGTCCCATTGTCTGTTTCATGGTAAGATGACGGGACCTCTGAGCCTGGCCTCCTCCATCTACACCTGCGGACTGCCCTGCCCGACCCGCCTGCAGTGTTGCCAACTCCTCAGTAAGGAAAGTAGCTATTGGCTGTCCCAAAAGTCGCTAGAAGTCGCTAAATGATGTCATCGCCTAATTTGCATAATTGGCAATTTGCAAATGACTGTAACGGACGCTGTAGGAGAAAGGAATAACGTCGTGGGAGAGACAAAAGTGAGTAAAAAACACCCTAAATATGTTTAGAACTACAAATGTACAAAAATAATTTCAAGATCTTATGTCACAGAGAGGTAGGCTACACACAAAGTGGACGAAGTCAATAAGTGACTCACCTGCTGAGGTTGTGTGAGTCAAATGCAGTGATATATTTGTGTGACAGCGTCACAGCGAAGAAACATTTACATTTAAATCCCGCTCTGCAAGCCAGCGGCGGCTTTTGCGCAAGCGCATTTCATTTGCAGAGGTGACGGTCTCCTCTCTCTCTCTCTGCTCCGCCCATAGACTGTAGCTGGGACTGCTGCGCAAGGCTACTGTGAGACTGGCTGCCTGTAAGTGCTTTGGGACGGGGGAGGGGCTCACGTTGAGGACAGTAACTGCAGAACAATACGTGCTTCACGCCAGAGTCTCCAAAACACCAGATAAGTCTCCAATAACACCAGAAAAAGTCGCTAGATTTGTCGCTAGTCGCTTTTTTGAAAAAAAGTCGCTATAGGGGTCTGAAAAGTCGCTAAATCTAGCGACAAAGTCGCTAAGTTGGCAACACTGCCCGCCTGGGAGTGCTTCAGTCCTGCACCGGACCCAGTGTTGCCAACTTAGCGACTTTGTCGCTAGATTTAGCAACTTTTCAGACCCTATAGCGACTTTTTTTTCAAAAAAGCGACTAGCGACAGATCTAGGCAAAGCATTAAAATCATTAAATGTTGTTAATGTTGAAATTATTTTTGTACATTTGTAGTTCTAAACATATTTAGGGTGTTTTTTACACGCTTTTGTCTCTCCCACGACGTTATTCCTCTCTCCTACAGCGTCCGTTACAGTTATTTGCAAATTGCCAATTATGCAAATTAGGCGATGACGTCATTTAGCGACTTCTAGCGACTTTTGGGACAGCCAATAGCTACTTTCCTTACTGAGGAGTTGGCAACACTGACCAGACCTGTCCATGTTCAGCAGCCACTGGTCCACGTCCTGTAGCTAGCTTAGGTCCTGGATCATTAGCCTGTCCGTCCGGAGGAGCGGATCCCTTTCTCAAATGGGTCTCCCTCCCTGTGGGTTTCCCTAGTTCTCCCCAAGGTTTCTCACTTTTTCCCACTGGGTTTTTAAAGAGTTTTTCCTTGCCGATGCAGGAGGGTCTTGTTGGACAGTTAGTGTCCAACAGAAAGGATTGGTGATGATCAGGACACTTTAGCATTCTACAACATGTATGGACATTTTCTTCTGTGTGTGCTTTATATTTTTCATGTGTTTTAACTGTTGATTCTCTGTGTTGGTGATCTCAATGGTTTTGTTAAGTCCTCTGAGATGACTTCTGTTGTGACTTAGGGCTATACAAGAATAAATTGTATTGTATTGAATTGTATTTTAAAAAGGACATGTTCCATCATTATCATCTGAGCCACAGCAGTGCACTGCTGTCGGATCGTCCACACGTCACGGATTTAGAGAGTGGTAAAGAATGGGGACATGAGCAAGAACACAATAAGTTAACACTAGGTAGGACTCTCAGAGCAGTCATTTTGACGGCTCCCACTCACATCCATGGAATCCAGTTATCAAGTTACTTTTTCAGTATGTTTTGTTGTTGGCTTCAATTCACAATAAGATTGGTGAATAACACGCAGAAAAACTATTTTTTTGCTAATGCTAACTGCTGTCAGTGCATTTCTATGGTAACTAGCACTCACTCTTCTCTGATGGAAAACCAACCAGGACCAGTCCAGGGCCAGTCCAGGAGAAAAGGAGTAGTAAGTACCATTGAATGTTGGTTGCCAAGAAACCCAAAATGGCTACAGTTGGATTTTACATTAAAATGAAAGGAAGACTGCTCACACTTAAAGTGATAGTCTGTAACTCTAAATGAATTACAAATTTTAGGAAATGTGTTAAATTGACCTCCTGGCCTTAAAGTCATTTTATTAATTACGGGCAAGTCCCGCCTTCCCTGCTCTTAGCTATAGTTCAGAATCCACGGTGCCGTCGAGGTTAACCAATCGAGTCATGCCAAGGGCTGTCAATCATCGGCGCTGATGCTCGCAGCTGCGCGCATGCTCAGTTGTTTGTTTTCGCGGAGCCTCCGAATCAAGCCTCTATTGAGAATGAGGAGTTGACGTCACGGCACAGAGTCCCCCCTCCCCATCCCCCCTTTGCCGACATATTGGCTGCGCACCGGTGGCGGCAGTACAGTTTGTTTACGTGTGTTGTGAACGCGGTAGTAGCGGAGGTTCTTGCTATTCCGCACTGTTTTATCATGCCTGGAAATAACTGCTGCGTTAAAAACTGCTCCAATACCTCCCACGATGGATATGGAAAACCTAGTAACAACGGGATACAGTTTTTTAGGTTACCGAAATGGAAAAAGCATCAAGGGGAGCAATTCTCTGACCTGACAAGGAGACGTCGGATTGCTTGGTTGGCTGCAATTAGAAGAAAGGACCTTACTTTCGATCACACACCCCTGTCGACGAGAGTGTGTTCTCTGCATTTTCACTCTGGTACGTTCTGTAAAAATGTATTTATGTAGTTGTCTCTTAAAGCTAGGAAGTGTAGGTTAGCATATGTTATTATGGTTTCTGTAGTGCCTTTGTCTCTGTGTCTTTGTTACCCTCTCAGGCTGTTTCTTACTTAGCACGTGTTCTGCGAGGTCTTTGCCAGTGTAAAGCATAGATTACATAGATTGTACACATAATCTAATTATTCTGTTGTACATAAACCTTCATATGACATTATGAGGTGACCTAAAAAGTACTTGAGATGCTGTTCATGACATAGTTGCCAGTTTAAAGCATTGATTACATAGATTGTGCAAATTATTATATTAATTATATGTTGTTATTATTCTCGTGTAGGTAAACCAGCATATGAGATGTTGGAGAACCACCCTGACTGGACACCATCCCTGTTGTTAGGCCACAATGATGTACAAAAAACAGATGAAGCGAGATATCAGCGGCAAGTAAGGCGCAGGTCCCTGCCACTGGAGCGGCAGCCACCTCCAGCCCAACACCAGCCGCAGGCGCCGCCGCCTCCAGCCCTAGACCAGCTGCAGCCGCCACCAGCCCTAGACCAGCTGCAGCCGCCACCAGCCCTAGACCAGCTGCAGCCGCCGCCAGCCCTAGACCAGCCGCAGGCGCCGCCGCCGCCAGCCCTAGACCAGCCGCCAGCTGACCCGGACATGGAATGTGGACTCTGCACATCTAGACGAGATGTTATCAACAATCTTCTTGAAGAAAACAGACAGCTGAAGCGTGAGCTTGATACGTACCGGATGAATGAGAACTTTCTGAGTGGTGATGATAACACAGTGAAGTATTACACGGGGCTTCCAAACTTTGCATTGTTCCAGACACTTCTACTCTACCTAACTCCAGATCTGCCTCAAGGTAGAATGAAGAAGCTCTCACCCTTCCAGCTTGTCCTATTGACTTTAATGCGCCTCAGATTAGACCTTCCAATCCAGCACCTCAGCCATCTGTTTAGAGTACATAGGACAACAGTCGCCGATGCCTTTCACCATACCCTTGGTGTGATGTACGCACAGCTGTGTCCATTGGTGCACTGGCCAAGTAGGGAATGCTTATTGACCAGTATGCCACACCAGTTTGTGGAGTCATTTGGGAACAATGTGGCTGCCATTGTGGACTGCTTCGAGGTGTTCATCGAGAAACCTTCCAATGTACTAGCAAGGGCACAGACTTTTTCTCAATACAAACACGCATACACTATGAAATACCTAATCGTGATCACGCCCCAGGGTGTAATTTCCTTCATATCGAACGGGTGGGGTGGGCGCACAAGCGACAAGCATATAACCGAGCAAAGTGGTTTCCTGAACAAGCTGTTACCAGGTGACATTGTGCTGGCAGATAGAGGCTTTAATATAAGAGAACATGTGGGCATGATGTGTGCTGAAGTGAAAATACCTACATTCACCAGGGGTCGTGCTCAGCTTGAGGCGAAAGATGTGGAGGAGACTAGGCCCATAGCACATCTCAGAATTCACGTGGAGAGGGTGATCGGTGTTGTGCGCAACAAATTCAAATTCTTACACTCAACTGTACCTGTGCACATGCTTGTCAAATGTGAGGGTGAAAACCTAATGCCTTTGGATAAGATTGTCATTGTTTGCTGTGCCTTAACGAACATGTGCAAAAGTGTTGTTTGAGTACCTTATTCTTTACTGTATCTTTTATTTTTAAATAAATGCATGAAACAACTTGATATGGTTTACCAATATTTATTGAGAAATGAATATTTTTTTTGTTACAAACGTGTGCAGTCAAAGTACTGTTTCCAGCATGTAAACATGCCCAACATAGGTAAAAATGATAATAAGAGTCATACTTTTCTTAGTGCAAAGGGACACAAAACACTGCAAAACAACGTGTGCATTCAAAGTACTGTTTCCAGCATGTAAACATGCACAGCATAGGCAAAAATGATCATAAGAGTCATACTTTTCTTAGTGCAAAGGGACACAAAACACTGCAAAACAACGTGTGCATTCAAAGTACTGTTTCCAGCATGTAAACATGCACAACATAATAAAATAAATTATAACATAAATAATAATAACAAATAAGACTGTTATTAGTGCAAATGTACAAAAAAACACTGCAAAGGCACACAGCAATAACAATAATACAATTTTAAGAAATAGGAAAAACCTATTCTGCACAACAAGGGCAAAACCATGGCGTGTCACCAGAGGGTTTATTAACAAGCCCCACACAACTGAAGTGAAACCACTGGCAAGCTTCTCCAAATACCTCTGTTTTGCGCTTGGTATGAGCTTGTTCCTGTACGGTCCCTTCTCTTTCGCCTTATCTCTAAGCATTGTTTTACTGTCTTCCTTTCCCTTGTTGTATCAGTAGATCCGTCTCTGTCTCGCCGAAAACGTAAATGCGTATAATTTAAAGTGCTCTGGAATATGAGGAGCGCGTGAAATTCTGGGGGCGTGCCCCCGTTGCGCAGCCAATATGTCCGACAGGCTCAGAGCCCCCCCCAAATCACCCCAACTCGGCACGTGACTCCTCATTCTCAATTAGGCTCTGGAACTACATGTACATGAAAACTGAACAAAGAATTCTGAACATCCGCGCTGAGTTACTCATTTATATACTGAAGCTATATCCATAATCAGATCCTCTGCAGATGTGTCCTATAATGTGCAATTCATAATAATAGCACTTCCTGGTTTGCCGCGATCGCTTTTTTTGTGCATAAAAACATTATTTTTTTCATTAAAACGTTCACAAATAATTCTGAATACCTCCGTGCATGTGTATTAATAATGTATATGTATAATGTGTTCTCTGATTAACATTTCAAAGTGTTACGGAAACGTAGGTGTAGACCAATCAGAAAGGAAGGGGGAGGGAGCTTGTGTCGTTTTTTTCAAATCAAGTACCTCTCTGTCTCTCTTTCTGACAAACTCCAGACAATCACTTTAAGAAAAAAGATTATTTCATAAGAATAATGACAGAAAATTAATTTAATTTAGACAACAGTCAAATTGACTGCTCTGTTCTAGTGTTAAACCGGACTCTCTTTGACTGCTGTAAGTCTAGTCTTTAGGACTGCTGTGAGGTCTGGTTACATGTATATAAACATGTGTGTCATTGATTAATTATATACAGTATATCATACAGTATGACACACGTGTATACATGTATATACACATGTGTGTCATTTATATATAATATATATAATAAGTAAGTATGTAATTTTTATTTATATACCGCCTTTCTCAGACCAGAGTCACAAAGCGGTTTACAATTGTTATTTTTTGGCATTTGTCTCTCACTCCACACAGAGATGGGAGTGGTGTCGCCAGCACAGGAGGCGCATGCCAGACCTATTGCACATGTTTTTAGTGGTAGGGGGAACCGGAGGAAACCTACGCAGACACAGGGAGAACATGCAAACTCCACTCAGAAAGGCACTGGTCCGACCGGGATTCGAACCCAGGAACCCCACCTTCTTGCTGAGAGGCAAGAGTGCTATCCACTCAGCCACCTTGCCGTGCTGTATGGTAATATATATCATACAGTATGACACACGCGTGTATGCATGTATACACTATCCATTCGTATACATGTCTGGTGCCGAGCTAAGGTTATTTAAGGTAATTGCATGAGCTAAGGTTAAGGTTCACTTTATTGTCCGTGTAGAGAAATGTGTTCTCTGAGGAGGACCTCTGTGTAACTGAGATTTACATTCATTTTAATGGTAGCAGTCAAAATGACGGCTCTGAGAGTCCTAGTGTTAAGCATTACTGCTTTAAACAGCGACTAAACACCTGTGCCTAGCCTTACTCCGGCCACATGAACATTTGAAAAATTTCTTGCGTTGCCCGATGACCAGGGGACATGAAGGGGGGGCTTAGAGTTGGGCGTGGTCTGAGCTGTGATTGACAGGTCACTAGTCACACAAAAAAAAAAACAGTTGCCATTGCTGTTTCAGCCTGGTTCACATGAGACAATTTTAAAATTGTCGGCACATTTTCCTCCCTGAGAGACTCCACACATGAAAATAAAAAATCAAGGTCTAACCACTTTGGTCGTACAGTGTGTGGTGCGCAGCCACACGGCAAGATCACGCAAACCGCACACGAACCGATTTCCTCCACGACCATTCCCAGGTCAGACTGAAATCAAGCGTGACTTCAGAGTAAACAATAATGGAGGACAAAGGAGGCAGTGGCGATAGTTTGCAGTTTGTTTTTAACAGAGAAAAAGGAAAAGCCGATGGTCAAAGTGGAGACAACGCGAGCATGGACTATATATATTTATGCCATTGACTACACGCCGCAGTCACCTGGCAACACGCTCGTCTGTCCCCAGGGGACACCACACACAAAGAGAAATCGGGCCAAAACAATCCAACATGTTGGATAGCCCCGAATGGAGATCGGAGCAGTCCCGAAGTCCTTCAGAGCGACGAGCGCACACCACACATGGAAAATCCATCAGGTTTTTTTTACGAAAATTGTAGCGTTATTAAGATTGTCGTTAGGGATTAATCGGGTCTTATATCGGCCTAATTATCCTGCCGTGTGAACCAGGCTTTAAAGCAATAACAGCAAGAAGTCTCATCCCACCCTTGTTTACACACTAAAATAATTGTAGAGCTACAAACCTGAACCTAATCTACAGAAATATCTCAGCAGCAGTGGTTGTCAACTCATGTAATTTAATTTTAATCCACTAGATGTCGCCAGAATACTCCAACCTGCTGCTGGGGCATGTATGAGAGTTGAATAGGTTTATATCAGTGGGCTGGCAGACAGACGCACGTCACACACACCAACTGATGTCACACACACCAACTGACGTCACACACATACAAACTGACGTCACACACACCAACTGACGTCACACCGAATTACAGTCAATGGAGAGGCCAGGACCAAATTCAAATGTAGTACCACCAAAAAGGTTGAGAGGGCTTCACACGGACGTTTTAAGGCTCAAAAGTGAGATTTTATCTAATTTGCACTAAAATGTCAAAAAAATGACTAGGAGATGTGGAGAGCACTACAATAAACATTTATGCAGTTTTTAAGTTAAAAAAAAGTTGATTTGGTGTTTAGCCGCTCTTTAAATGATCCATTGAAATGAAAATAAAAACATCAAATGTTAGCTAGTATTATCAGTTAGCATATTGGACCAAAATGATTAGTTATCATCAGCTGAACATGAGTTTCTAACTCACAGCCACGATACTTTACGTTTATGTCGTAGTAGAATGTTTATATAAATATAAAGTAACCATAGTAACGAGACGTTTGCTTCTTAGCATGAGCCACATTCTGTTTCTGCAGAGTCACATCCCTTTGTTCTTAGTTTCACTTTTCTCGAGTCGCATCGTCTGCGTGGCATCTGCGTGGCGTCCGAGTGTCGTCCACGTGACGCGCTCTCCGCCATCTTGTCCGTACAGCGTCTGAAGCGGCGAACGTTTATAAATAGTTCCTCTTTCCTCCAAAACAAACGTTTTTTAAATACAGGACGGTGTAGGGGCTGCAGAGTCTGTGGGCAGTCCCTGTGGTCTCTGTGGGCAGTCCTTGTGGTCCCTGTGGGCAGTCCCTGTGGGCAGTCCCTGTGGTCCCTGTGGGCAGTCCCTGTGGTCTGTGTGGGCAGTCCCTGTGGGCGGTCTGTGTGGGCAGTCCCTGTGGGCGGTCTGTGTGGGCAGTCCCTGTGGTCTCTGTGGGCAGTCCCTGTGGTGTCTGTGGGCAGTCCCTGTGGTCTCTGTGGGCAGTCCCTGTGGTCTCTGTGGGCAGTCCCTGTGCTACGCCATATAGATGAAGGTGTTGATGTCCGTCTCGTCCCTCCTGATATATTTGTGGTCTATGAGCCACTCCATCTGCTCCTTGATCATCTTCTTCTGTGGTAGGAACATGTTCTTGAGGATCTCCACCAGCTCCGTCTGCAGCTGCGCGTTAGTGATGCGCTTCCTCATCTTCATGATCTGGATGATGGCCTCCTGAAAAGGGGGGGGGGGGACGAGGGAGGGGGAGGAAGAGGGGCCCAGTGTTACAATAATAATAGTGAATTTTTATTTCAAAAACAGCCTAGGACACTCTACAGGATATAATAAAAACTAACAACAGTGCAATGGTGGGTGCTTGGTGTTTCGGAGGGTAGGACCGTGGGGTAAGACCGTAGGGTAAGACCGTAGGGTAGGACCGTTGGGTAAGACCGTAGGGTAGGACCGTTGGGTAGGATCGTGGGGTAAGACCGTGGGGTAGGACCGTGGGGTAGGACCGTGGGGTAGGACCATTGAGGTAGGACCATTGAGGTAGGACCGCAAGTAAGACCGTGGGGTAGGTGATGGGGTGATGGGTGACGGGGTGAGGGGGTGACGGGTGAGGGGGTGATAGGGTGAGGGGTGGCAGACCTGAGTCCGGAGTATCCTGAGCTGCACTATGCCCTCGTTCTCCTCCTCCCTCATGCGCTCCGTGGTCAGCTGCAGTCGACCAATCAGGTTGATCTTCCCACGCTTCTGGACCTTAGAGTTTTTACTGAGACACAGAAGTTAGACATGTGTTAGACATGTGTTAGAGATGTGTACAACAGGTGTACGCCAGTGGCGGAGCCAGAGGGGTAGCCAGGGTGGCCACTGCCACCTCTAAAAATATCCTTGCCACCCCCAGTGCCCCCCTCGGAAGACGGCAATGTAATAATGTTAATCTTGAGAATCTTCCGCACTTTTTCCGCCAAAAGCTAAAAATTCCCACGGTTTCCCCCGTCTGTGAACGCACCCTGACTCCGTGTGGAGCCGGTGCTGTATGCTAATGCTTTGGGTTGTTGGACTCACACATGTGCCCAAGTCGTGATGAAAACAAAGAGGTAAGTTAGCGATGCAGAGCCAACCGTTTACATTTGACACAAAGTATAGACACACGTACTTGTAGGGTGAGAAAATGTCGATGTCACACATAACTTAAGTTATGTACCTGATATCGGAGAATTGGATCAAAAACAACCATGTAATAAATACAATAATTGATAATAGCTTTATTTAGGGGCACCAGGGAATAACTCCCAACTGATAACGTGCATATGACGTCACAATATCAATTAATTGGCTCATTTATTGATTAAGTAACCTCATGAGTCCTTTCATTATTTAATTAGCTAGTTAGTCCAATTCTCTTCAATAGAATCTGAAGGTAGTGAATTCTTTTACAAATCAGTGACCCAATTTCTGGAGTTAAAAGTACAAATATCACTTTCAGACAAAGATGGTTTTGTAGATTTAATGAAGTATACACAACACAGACTAGATATGAATTATGCAAATTGTCAAGAATAACATGAAGGAAACGTTGATTTCAAGATACATTGTTAAAATGCTAGGCTAAAGTGAGCTAAGCAAGACCTTTGTCTATGAATGGATTGGTATAGGCTGAGGCCTGCATGTGTTCAGCCTTGGTAAGAGAAGTATTCTTTGAAGTATAGGTTTTAATAAAGCCAACAGCTGTGTGTAGCAAGAGCGCAGATCATACAACCAGAATAGCCTTGGGTGAATAGCAGTCCTTGGGTCTTGATGGCGTTGGATGGAGGCTTCTTGTCCCCAGGGCCTGGACCATGCGGCTGTATCATGTGGTCCTCCCACGATCCACAGTCTAGGTGCCAAAACTCAGCAACTTCTTCAGGTTGAAGCTGGAGGCTATTGAAGGGTTGTGGAAGTCCTCTCAGTTGCCTCTCAGCTGCTTAGGCAACCCCTTGGTTGCCTAAGCAGAGCCCAGGGCAGAGCCCAGGGAGGTCTCGTCACTCCGTGGTTCCAAAGCAGACTGGTTTGTCTTCCCTTGTTTTAGAGTCGTTGGGGGAAGGGTGTTGCCATGGCACTTATCTTAAGACATTCTTGCCCACAATAAAACCTGAACCACAAGGATTTACACACAGTGGAGACGGAAGTTATAATATGTCTCAATATACAACAAAATGTCTTTGATTGAGGAAAGAGGTCATTTTAATTTATCCTACATACTGCAGCGCATTACTTGTTCAGTTTGTAGAACTTTTAGTGTGTATATGTGTGTGTGCGTGTGCGTGCCTGTGTGCGTGCCTGTATGCGCGCCTGTGTGCGTGTCTCAGCGTGCCAGTGTGTCTGCACGTGTGTGCGTGCCTGTGTGTGCCAGTGTGGGTCAGCGTGCCTGTGTGCGTGTCTGTGTGTGTGTGCGTGCCTGGGTGCGTGTGTGTGCGTGCGGGGTGCATACGTGTGTATTTTCCATTATTAATTGCCCATCGTATCATCGCCCTCTTCCCTTTAATGTAAACATGAAAAGAAAAGGAGGAAACATTGCCTACAGGCCTTTTTTTTGTTAGGAAAAGGCCTGTAGATCAGGATGATGAAACCTCACCTGAAGGTCAGACTGGAGGCAGTATGTTTTGAGATGAGGAATTTGTTGTGTTGTATTAAAATATAGCTTATATAATTGAGTTTCAGAGAATGAGAGGGTGTCGCAGACAGATTATGGATGATGTGCAGTCGCTAAACCCCAAAATATTTTTGAAAGAAGAGCCCCTGTTTTCATTTGGCAGAACCTTTGAGTCAGATATAGAGGTACGTCAAACTAGGCGGCTTCTTGGGAGGAAAAAATGGATTAGAGAGTCTTTTTGGAACGTTTGGAAAGTGTTTCATGAGCTTTTGAGGCTTGCAAAGATCTTTTTAGTACCTGTCAGTACTGCGTCTTGTGAAATAAGTTTCTCTGCCCTAAAACTTATTAAAAACCATCTCAGAACTACCATGGCAGATGACAGTCATCTTGGTATCCTCAGTGTAGAGTCAAGGAGGGCTGAATATGGATGAGTTTGTCAACATCTTTGCTGCTTTACACCAGAACCGCAGGAATTTGCTAAATTTGTTAAAAGAAAAATGTAATGCAATGTTTGAATGATGTTATTTTGCACTTTTTTGTTCAGACTACTATTTAAATACACTTTTTTGCTTTGTAGTTTCCAAGTGTGCTCTCAGTTCACTTTATATTAAAAATAATGACAAGATTAAGATTAAAATGTATCGTTTAGCCAGTTTTTGTGTGAAATAAAATTTCGGGATAGTATAAATGTGGACCCCTTAAAAAAAAACCTTGCCACCCACTGTTTAAAAGTCTGGCTCCGCCACTGGTGTACGCCAGGTGTACGCCAGGTGTACGACAGGTGTACGACAGGTGTACGACAGGTGTTAGACAGGTGTTAGACAGGTGTTAGACAGGTGTTAGACAGGTGTTAGACAGGTGTTAGACAGGTGTTAGACAGGTGTTAGACAGGTGTTAGACAGGTGTTAGACAGGTGTTAGAGACCAATCTCTAAGTTAGACCTTAGAGACCGATCTCTAAGTAAGACCTTAGAGACCGATCTTTAAGTTAGACCTTAGAGACCGATCTCTAAGTTAGACCTTAGAGACCGATCTCTAAGTTAGAGCTTACATCAGAGAGAAGTCCTGGTTGACGGAGAAGAGCGTTCCTTCAGTGAAGTCTTTTGGTGAAGAGACCGAGGGGTCGTAGCTCAGCACCTGCCGCTTCAGTTTGGGGAACGCCACCAGGGACTGGAACACAACACACATTAGACCTGATCCGGACCCGCTGATCCGGACCCGCTGATCCAGACCCGAAGACCCAGACCCGCTGATCCAGACTGTACTGTGAAGAGCGCTGGTCACTAATAATTGTCTGTGTATGAGTATGGGTATGGGTATGGGTGTGGGTGTGGGTCTGTCTGTCTGTCTGTGTGTCTCTGTGTGTGTGAGTGTCTGTGTGTCTCTGTGTGTATGTGTCGGTGCGTGTGTGTCTCTGTATGTGTGTCTTTGTGTGTGTGTACCCATAGCGTGCGGCGCAGCTCGGCGTCTGGTAGCTCTGTAGCTAACTTTAGGTTCTCGAAGCTGATTCGCTCTTGCGGCCTCTGGTTCCAGGCGAAGAGCACGGCGAGTTGGAACGTGGTCACCTCCAGGTCGTACTGACCCACCTCGTTCTTAAACGTGATCTGATCCAGATCCAGAGTTAGAACAGAACCAACAGAACCATCAGAGTTTGAACAGAACCATCAGAGTTAGAACAGTTAGGAATAGACTGTATTTATTACAGACGTCGTCACGTCTGTCTCCGCCGTTCAAACTAATGTGACATCACGTTCGCCTCTATGGCAGTATCAAAATGGCCGCGGGAAAAAGTTAAACACATTTGTGCGTCAGCTGCATGAGCCCCATTCATTTAATGATTCATTCAAAGTCCACAGCGGCTAAACTAGACTGGTCCAAAATATATACTCCCCTAAGACAGCATCTGGAACCAAGAAGACCAAGAACCATTTTAGGACCAATAATAATAATAATAATAATAATAATAATCTTTATTTGTATAGCACTTTTAAAAACAATGTTTACAAAGCGCTGCACAGTCAGCATGATAAACGATAAAAACAGTCATAATACAAGGTCAAAATAATTTGATACAGAAACACAAAGCAAACAGAGCAAAACACAAAAGAGACACAACAAAGACAAAGCAGACATTAAAATACAGCATGGGAAGTTTAAAACTAACAGTTAAAAGCTGTTTGATAAAAGTGGGTTTTAAGAAGAGATTTAAAAGAGGATACTGATGGTGCTAGCCTTATCTCCTCGGGCAGGTCGTTCCAAAGCCGAGGAGCCCGGACAGAGAAGGCTCGGTCACCTTTCGGTCACCTTGGAACAGTCAACAGGGACCTGCCCGAGGATCTAAGGCTGCGGGGGGGGGGGGGGCTCGTAGGGGGTTAAAAGTTCAGAAATATAGCTTGGTGCCAGACCTAAACGAGCTTTAAAAGTCCGTCCGTCCATTTTCCTCCGCTTCATCCGTTGCCGGGTCGCGGGGGCAGCAGTCTAAGCAGAGACGCCCAGACTTCCCTATCCACACACACTTCCTCCAGCTCGTCCGGGGGGACCCCAAGGCGTTCCCAGGCCAGCTGAGAGACATAGTCCCTCCAGCGTGTCCTAGGTCTTCCCCGGGGCCTCCTCCCAGTGGGACGTGCCCGGAATACCTCCCCAGGGAGGCGTCCAGGAGGCATCCGGAACAGATGCCCGAGCCACCTCAACTGGTTCCTCTCGACGTGGAGTAGCAGCGGCTCTACTCAGAGCTCCTCCCGTGTGACCGAGCTCCTCACCCTATCTCTAAGGGAGCGCCCAGCCACTCTGCGGAGGAAGCTCATTTCGACCGCTTGTATCCGCAATCTCGTTCTTTCGGTCACTACCCAAAGCTCATGACCATAGGTGAGGGAGGGAACGAAGATTGACCGGTAAATCGAGAGCTTTGCCTTTCGGCTCAGCTCCCTCTTCACCACGACGGTCCGATACAGCGACTGCATCACTGCGCACGCTGCACCGATCCGCCTGTCAATCTCACACTCCATCCTTCCCTCACTCGTGAACAAGACCCCGAGATACTTGAACTCCTCCACTTGAGGAACGACCTTTCCACCCACCTGTAGAGGGCAAGGCACCTTTTTCCGGTTGAGCACCATGGCCTCAGATTTGGAGGTGCTGATTCTCATCCCAGCCGCTTCACACTCGGCTGCAAACCGTCCCAGTGCATGTTGTAGGTCCTGGTTTGTTGGAGCCAACAGGACAACATCGTCCGTAAACAGCAGAGATGAAATCCTGTGGTCCCCGAACCGGACCCCCTCCGGCCCCTGGCTGCGCCTAGAAATTCTGTCCATGAATACAGTGAACAGAACCGGTGACAAAGGGCAGCCCTGGCAGAGGCCAACATGCACCAGGAACAGGTCTGACTTACTGCCGGCAATGCGAACACAGCTCTGGCTCCGGTCATACAGGAACCGAACGGCCCTCAGCAGAGGACCCCGGACCCCGTACTCCCGGAGAACCCCCCAAAGAACACCCCGGGGAACACGGTCGAACGCCTTCTCCAAATCCACAAAGCACATGTGGACAGGTTGGGCAAACTCCCATGAACCCTCGAGTATCCGATGGAGAGTATAGAGCTGGTCCAGTGTTCCGCGGCCGGGACGAAAACCTTTAGAAAAGCTTTAAAAGTAATCAGTAAAATCTTAAAATCAATTCAAAACGCACAGGGAGCCAGTGGAGAGACGCTAAAACAGGGGTGATGTGCTCCCTTCTGTTAAAACCAGTGAGAAGTCTGGCTGCTGCGTTCTGGACCAGTTGGAGGCGGGAGAGGGATTTAGCTTGGAGAGGAGGGAGTTGCAGTAGTCGAGGTGGGAGAAGATGAGGGCGTTGACAACTTTATGGGGATCGGGAGGAGTGAGAGTGTTTTTAATCTTTGAGATTGTGCGGAGATGATAGAAGCAGGTTTGGGTGGTTTTATTGATGTGGGAGTGGAAGGTGAGGTGAGAATCGAAAATGACACCAAGGTTACGGGCGGAGGGAGTGATGTTTGAGGATAGGGGGCCGAGGTGGGTTTGGATGTGGGATATTGATGGAGGCGGGTTGATGAGGAGGACTTCTGATTTGGAGGTGTTGAGTTGAAGGAAGTTGTGGGCCATCCAATGGTTCATATCGTTAAAACAGTCGACCACAGCAGCCAGACTTCCAGGGTCGTTTGGTCTCAGCGGGAGGTAGATCTGTGTGTCGTCCGCATAGCAGTGGAAGGACACGTTATGACGGGCCATAACGTGTCCTAGGGGGAGCATATAAATAGAAAATAAAATGGGACCTAAAATAGAACCTTGCGGCACACCACAGGTAATGGGGGCTGTTGAGGAGGTAAAATCACCCATGGTGACCGCAAAGGTTCTGTCTAAAAGATAAGAATGAAACCAACCAAGTGCAGTATCTCTGATGCCAACCCACGTTTTGAGACGATCCAATAAAATCTTGTGGTCGATCGTCTCGAAGGCTCTTAGGTGCGCTTAGGTCTAAAATAATTAAAATAGAGCACCCTCCGCTGTCTGTGGTTAAAAGAAGGTCATTTAAAACTCTAAGGAGGGCTGTCTCTGTACTATGTTGTGCTTTAAAACCTGATTGGAATTTCTCAAAGATGTGGTTCTCATTAATAAGATCTAAAATCTGAATTGAAACAATTTTCTCTAAAACTTTGGATAAAAAAGGAAGTTTTGAAATGGGTCTAAAATTGTTAAAATCAGTAGTACTTAAATTAGGTTTCTTTAAAAGTGGCTGGACCACAGCATGTTTAAAACTGGATGGGACAAGACCTTGATCCAGGGACTGATTAATGATTGATAAAATGGGGGGTCCAACCACATTAAAAACATCTTCGGGAAATTTGGTGGGGATGACATTGAGGCTGCACGTGGTTGGTTTCATGCGGAATAAAATGTCAGATAAAAGAGAAAGGGATAAAGGCATAAAGTTAGTAAAACAATTAAAATCCAGAGTTTCTCTGTATATAAAAATTGCTTGGCTGGGAGCAGATATTTGGGCCCGGATATCAGTGATTTTTTTGATAAAATGCTTTAAAAATTGTTCAAACATCTCAGTGGATGCATCATTAAAAACAGCAGGACTGGGGTTTGTGATAGAATTTAAAATTTGAAATAAAACTCTAGGATTTGAAATGTTTTGACTGATGGTATTTGAATAAAATAAGGTTATAAGACCAAGAGCCACCTTTGGACCAAGAGCCACTTTTGGATCAAGAACCACTTTTGGATCAAGACCCACTTTTGGACCAAGAGCCACTTTAGGACCAAGAGCCACTTTAGGACCAAGAACCACTTTTGGACCAAGAACCACTTTTGGACCAAGAACCACTTTAGGACCAAGAACCACTTTAGGACCAAGAGCCACTTTTGGACCAAGAGCCACTTTTGGACCAAGACCCACTTTTGGACCAAGAGCCACTTTAGGACCAAGAACCATTTTAGGACCAAGAACCACTTTAGGACCAAGAGCCAATTTTGGACCAATAACCAATTTTGGACCAAGAACCACTTTTAGGACCAAGAGCCACTTTAGGACCAAGAGCCACTTTAGGACCAAGAGCCACTTTAGGACCAAGAGCCACTTTTGGATCAAGAGCCACTTTTGGACCAAGAGCCACTTTTGGACCAAGAGCCACTTTAGGACCAAGAACCACTTTTGGACCAAGAACCACTTTAGGACCAAGAACCACTTTAGGACCAAGAACCACTTTAGGACCAAGAGCCACTTTTGGACCAAGACCCACTTTTGGACCAAGACCCACTTTTGGACCAAGAGCCACTTTAGGACCAAGAACCATTTTAGGACCAAGAACCACTTTAGGACCAAGAGCCAATTTTGGACCAATAACCAATTTTGGACCAAGAACCACTTTTAGGACCAAGAGCCACTTTAGGACCAAGAGCCACTTTAGGACCAAGAGCCACTTTAGGACCAAGAGCCACTTTTGGACCAAGAGCCACTTTTGGACCAAGAGCCACTTTTGGACCAAGAACCACTTTTGGACCAAGAACCAATTTTTGACCAAGAACCACTTTAGGACCAAGAGCCACTTTTGGACCAAGAGCCACTTTTGGACCAAGAGCCACTTTAGGACCAAGAACCATTTTAGGACCAAGGACCACTTTAGGACCAAGAGCCACTTTTGGACCAAGAACCACTTTTGGACCAAGAACCAATTTTTGACCAAGAACCACTTTAGGACCAAGAACCACTTTTGGACCGAGAGCCACTTTTGGACCAAGAGCCACTTTTGGACCAAGAGCCACTGTTGGACCAAGAGCCACTGTTGGACCAAGAGCCACTGTTGGACCAAGAGCCACTTTTGGACCAAGAGCCACTGTTGGACCAAGAGCCACTGTTGGACCAAGAGCCACTTTTGGACCAAGAGCCACTGTTGAACCAAGAGCCACTTTTGGACCAAGAGCCACTGTTGGACCAAGAGCCACTGTTGGACCAAGAGCCACTTTTGGACCAAGAGCCACTGTTGGACCAAGAGCCACTTTTGGACCAAGAGCCACTTTTGGACCAAGAACCACTGTTGGACCAAGAGCCACTTTTGGACCAAGAGCCACTGTTGGACCAAGAGCCACTTTTGGACCAAGAGCCACTGTTGGACCAAGAGCCACTGTTGGACCAAGAGCCACTTTTGGACCAAGAGCCACTGTTGGACCAAGAAAGCCACTTTTGGACCAAGAGCCACTTTTGGACCAAGAGCCACTGTTGGACCAAGAGCCACTGTTGGACCAAGAGCCACTGTTGGACCAAGAGCCACTGTTGGACCAAGAGCCACTGTTGGACCAAGAGCCACTGTTGGACCAAGAGCCACTGTTGGACCAAGAGCCACTTTTGGACCAAGAGCCACTGTTGGACCAAGAGCCACTTTTGGACCAAGAGCCACTGTTGGACCAAGAGCCACTGTTGGACCAAGAGCCACTTTTGGACCAAGAGCCACTGTTGGACCAAGAGCCACTTTTGGACCAAGAGCCACTTTTGGACCAAGAGCCACTGTTGGACCAAGAGCCACTGTTGGACCAAGCCAAGAGCCACTGTTGGACCAAGAGCCACTGTTGGACCAAGAGCCACTGTTGGACCAAGAGCCACTGTTGGACCAAGAGCCACTTTTGGACCAAGAGCCACTGTTAGACCAAGAGCCACTTTTGGACCAAGAGCCACTTTTGGACCAAGAGCCACTGTTGGACCAAGAGCCACTGTTGGACCAAGAGCCACTGTTGGACCAAGAGCCACTGTTGGACCAAGAGCCACTGTTGGACCAAGAGCCACTGTTGAACCAAGAGCCACTGTTGGACCAAGAGCCACTTTTGGACCAAGAGCCACTGTTCGACCAAGAGCCACTGTTGGACCAAGAGCCACTTTTGGACCAAGAGCCACTGTTGGACCAAGAGCCACTTTTGGACCAAGAGCCACTTTTGGACCAAGAGCCACTGTTGGACCAAGAGCCACTGTTGGACCAAGAGCCACTGTTGGACCAGGAGCCACTGTTGGACCAAGAGCCACTGTTGGACCAAGAGCCACTTTTGGACCAAGAGCCACTGTTAGACCAAGAGCCACTTTTGGACCAAGAGCCACTTTTGGACCAAGAGCCACTGTTGGACCAAGAGCCACTGTTGGACCAAGAGCCACTGTTGGACCAAGAGCCACTGTTGGACCAAGAGCCACTTTTGGACCAAGAGCCACTTTTGGACCAAGAGCCACTGTTGGACCAAGAGCCACTGTTGGACCAAGAGCCACTGTTGGACCATCCTGTAAAGCATTAGCATTGGATAATTCTTATTCCGGGTCCGCCCCCACAGGCCTGGGGTGGTAGTGGAAGCATGTCAGCGCTCGTCAGTCTAATGGCCGCCTCGTACTGTGGCTCTTCTTCTTCCTCCACGTTTATTTTCAGAACCAGATAAAACAGCAGAGCGTCCAGGACAAAGTAGAAGTTTGTGATGCAGAAAACATCGAAGGCCAGTGGGAGATAGTCATGTGACTTCAGGAGCAGACAGTCGAGGACGGCGTTGGGGAGACAGACGAGGACGTAGGTGACAGCAGCCAGGACTCCCAGCAGCCTCCTCTGTTTGGCCATCCTGGTCTGAGCCTGCTTCAAACACACCACGGCGATAGACACCATCAGCAGGAGGTTAAAGACGTCCATAGCCACTATAAGAACGGGAAACAGAAGAATGGCCATGTTGCCAAAAAAAGATTTGACTGACGTGTTCAGAATTTGATACAGAAATAAGGCCAAGAATGCAAGAGTTAAAAATAGAACATTTATTCCTCTTTACAATTAAATATTGATACAAAACTCTTTGAGCTCTTAATTTCCCTAAATCTAACCCTATGCTGGCCATTCTAAACTGTCCCTCAAGGCCTGAAAAATGTGCAGAGAACATGCAGGCGCTCTGCCATGTTCTCTGTCTCTATCCCTGTGCTCACTGACTGAAAATCTCCTCCCAGCAGTTTCTATCAGAAGGTCCGATGACGTCACAGGTCCCAGACTGGTGCAGTCTGATCCAGCTTTTTCTGGTTTTGGGAGGCCCGTACTCCAGCCAGCCTGGACTCCGGACTTTGTCTGGTCTGGTCTTGGTCTGGTCTGACATCAATCTCCTTCTCCAAACAACTCTTATCTGGCTGGGGGAGCTCTGCATTCCTCACATGGTCTGGCCGACTCTGACTAGGCCCCACTTAATATGAAATCACTGAAAATATAAACGACGTGTGCAGCATTTCTTGAGATGATGCATTAGCCACCATGATCAGAGCGAATGGTGGAAGAAGGAGGCTTTTCCCGGCCTGGCGATAGCGGTTGGCGTGTTGTGGACGGTAGAGGAAGAGGACGGCGACCAGAGCCGTGACCAGGTGTTGGGACAGACTGAGCTTTCTCATACTCCTCCAGAACCCTCCAGCTATCAGACAGGGCAGGAGATGATTCTGACACACTTGGGTTAGGGCCAAAGCCACAGCCAGCGTGGCAGAGATGGCGGTGAAGGCGTCGTACACGAGCAGACTGAACAGAGACATGTGGGTGTGCTGCACGCCACGGAGCTCACTCTCTCTGCAGCAGAGGGACTTGTGCAGCGACTGCCCAAAGAGGCAACCTTTGACCCTTTGGGAGCAGAAGGCGAAGGCGTAGATGCAGAGACCCAGAGCGAAGGGGACGAGCAGCAGAGAAATCGCCAACTCTGGGTTCGACGCCACAACGGAGGCGGACAAATCAAAGTGAAACATGGTGGAGACCTGTGGAGACAAACACAGTGAGTGATGTCACACAGTCACCTCTGGGGGTGTCCAGACTTCTGCACCCACAGTATGGATGGATCATTCTCTACATCTAAGTGGAAGAAGCAGCAAGGGAACCTAGAAACATCCTAAGAAAAAAACCCTTGAGATTCTTCCTGCATCATAGACTATAAACAGATGGACAATGCTAACCTGCTAGCTCAATGTAGCACAATAGAGAAGTGCTCATGGTGAAGTTTGGCTCCTCCCTCTGGCTCTTAGTTCAGTAACGTTTGTTTTGGGCTTAAATCTGGGGTTTCCCTGTTTATACAGTATTTGATGTTGTCTTTGTAAATCCAGATATGACCGTATAAGGACTGACCAATCAGAGGCCTTCATTCAGGGGGAACATACGGCTAAGCAACTCTGTGGCTACCACTGCTCATGAACGTTCTGGATTCAGATTCAGTTAATTCACAATTTGCACTAAAAAAAAACTTTTCATAAAACGAGATGTCCTGCATCTCAGCAAACAATATTTTCTGCCTGAGGGAAGAAGCTGGAACATGGCTTTTACAGAAGAGTCAAATATATCCTAAAAGCTCAGTTTAAAAGTCTGGATAGAGAAACTCCAGGACAGACACGGTCCTATCAGAGCGGAGCACCTCTCTCTGGTCTCTCTCTGGTCTCATTCTGGTCTCACTCTGGTCTCACTCTGGTCTCTCTCTCTGGTCTCACTCTGGTCTCTCTCTGGTCTCTCTCTGGACTCTCTCTGGTCTCTCTCTAGTGTCTTTCTGGTCTCACTTTCTGGTCTCTCTCTCTGGTCTCTCTCTCTGGTCTCTCTCTCTGGTCTCTCTCTCTGGTCTCACTCTCTGGTCTCACTCTGGTCTCACTCTGGTCTCTCTGGTCTCTCTCTCTGGTGTCTTTCTCTGGTCTCTCTCTCTGGTCTCACTCTGGTCTCACTCTGGTCTCACTCTGGTCTCACTCTGGTCTCACTCTGGTCTCTCTCTGGTCTCTCTCTCTGGTGTCTCTCTCTGGTCTCTCTCTAGTGTCTTTCTGGTATCTCTTTCTGGTCTCTCTCTCTGGTCTCTCTCTCTGGACTCTCACTCTGGTCTCACTCTGGTCTCACTCTGGTCTCTCTCTGGTCTCTCTCTCTGGTGTCTCTCTCTGGTCTCTCTCTAGTGTCTTTCTGGTATCTCTTTCTGGTCTCTCTCTCTGGTCTCTCTCTCTAGTGTCTTTCTGGTCTCTCTCTCTGGTCTCTCTCTCTGGTCTCACTCTCTGGTCTCACTCTGGTCTCACTCTGGTCTTACTCTGGTCTCACTCTGGTCTCTCTCTGGTCTCTCTCTCTGGTCTCTCTCTAGTGTCTCTCTGGTATCTCTTTCTGGTCTCTCTCTCTGGTCTCTCTCTCTGGACTCTCACTCTGGTCTCACTCTGGTCTCTCTCTGGTGTCTCTCTCTGGTGTCTCTCTCTGGTCTCTCTCTGGTCTCTCTCTGGTCTCTCTTTCTGGTATCTCTTTCTGGTCTCTCTCTCTGGTCTCTCTCTGGTCTCTCTCTGGTCTCTCTCTCTGGTCTCTCTCTCTGGTCTCTCTTTCTGGTCTCTCTCTGGTCTCTCTCTCTGGTCTCCCTCTCTGGTCTCTCTCTCTGGTCTCTCTCTCTGGTCTCTCTCTCTGGTCTCTCTCTGGTCTCTCTCTCTGGTCTCCCTCTCTGGTCTCTCTCTCTGGTCTCCCTCTCTGGTCTCTCTCTCTGGTCTCTCTCTCTGGTCTCTCTCTGGTCTCTCTCTCTGGTCTCCCTCTCTGGTCTCTCTCTCTGGTCTCTCTCTCTGGTCTCTCTCTGGTCTCTCTCTCTGGTCTCTCTCTCTGGTCTCTCTCTGGTCTCTCTCTGGTTTCTCTCTCTGGTCTCTCTCTGGTCTCTCTCTGGTCTCGCTGGTCTCTCTGGTCTCTCTCTGGTCTCTCTCTGGCCTCTCTCTGGTCTCTCTCTGGTCTCTCTCTGGTCTCTCTGGTCTCTCTCTGGTCTCTCTCTGGTCTCTCTCTGGTCTCTCTCTGGTCTCTCTCTCTGGTCTCTCTGGTCTCTCTCTGGTCTCTCTCTGGTCTCTCTCTGGTCTCTCTCTCAGTGATTTTAAATGAGCACTTACTGTGTCTTGTCCAGGACCAGGTGTGATATGTGCTTTCTGGTGTCTCCAGGACCAGTTGTGACATGTGCCAAGGATCCGTTGAGAGACAGTGTTTCAGCCACACCCCTACCTCACTTTCTATTTACAGGAAACCTGTACCCAGCCTGTACCATCAAGACTCAGACTGTACCATCAAGACTCAGACTGTACCATCAAGACTCAGACCGTCTTCTTCTTCTCTTTCTTCTTCAGACATATATATTCATACATTTATACATATACACAAACACTCAAATACATGAACACCCACAGTTACACATTAGCACCCACATGAACACCCACACTTACACATTAGCACCCACATGAACACCCACACTTACACATTAGCACCTACATGAACACCCACACTTACACATTAGCACCCACATGAACACCTACACTTACACATTAGCACCTACATGAACACCCACACTTACACATTAGCACCCACATGAACACCCACACTTACACATTAGCACCTACATGAACACCCACACTTACACATTAGCACCCACATGAACACCTACACTTACACATTAGCACCTACATGAACACCTACACTTACACATTAGCACCTACATGAACACCCACACTTACACATTAGCACCTACATGAACACCCACACTTACACATTAGCACCCACATGAACACCTACACTTACACATTAGCACCTACATGAACACCCACACTTACACATTAGCACCCACATGAACACCTACACTTACACATTAGCACCCAAATGAACACCCACACTTACACATTCGCACCTACATGAACACCCACACTTACACATTAGCACCTACATGAACACCCACACTTACACATTAGCACCTACATGAACACCCACACTTACACATTAGCACCCACATGAACACCCACACTTACACATCAGCACACCTACATGAACACCCACACTTACACATTAGCACCTACATGAACACCCACACTTACACATTAGCACCTACATGAACACCCACACTTACACATTAGCACCCACATGAACACCCACACTTACACATTAGCACCTACATGAACACCCACACTTACACATTAGCACCCACCATGAACACCTACACTTACACATTAGCACCTACATGAACACCCACACTTACACATTAGCACCTACATGAACACCCACACTTACACATTAGCACCCACATGAACACCCACACTTACACATTAGCACCTACATGAACACCCACACTTACACATTAGCACCCACATGAACACCTACACTTACACATTAGCACCTACATGAACACCCACACTTACACATTAGCACCCACATGAACACCCACACTTACACATTAGCACCTACATGAACACCCACACTTACACATTAGCACCTACATGAACACCCACACTTACACATTAGCACCTACATGAACACCTACACTTACACATTAGCACCTACATGAACACCCACACTTACACATTAGCACCTACATGAACACCCACACTTACACATTATCACCTACATGAACACCCACACTTACACATTATCACCTACATGAACACCCACACTTACACTCTCTGACCTGCTCCTCTCTCTCTCTTTGACCTGCTCCTCTCTCTTTCTGACCTGCTCCTCTCTCTCTCTGACCTGCTCCTCTCTCTCTTTCTGACCTGCTCCTCTCTCTTTCTGACCTGCTCCTCTCTCTCTCTGACCTGCTCCTCTCTCTCTGACCTGCTCCTCTCTCTCTCTGACCTGCTCCTCTCTCTCTCTCTGACCTGCTCCTCTCTCTCTGACCTGCTCCTCTCTCTTTCTGACCTGCTCCTCTCTCTCTCTGACCTGCTCCTCTCTCTCTGACCTGCTCCTCTCTCTTTCTGACCTGCTCCTCTCTCTCTCTGACCTGCTCCTCTCTCTCTGACCTGCTCCTCTCTCTCTCTGACCTGCTCCTCTCTCTTTCTGACCTGCTCCTCTCTCTCTCTGACCTGCTCCTCTCTCTCTGACCTGCTCCTCTCTCTCTCTCTGACCTGCTCCTCTCTCTCTCTGACCTGCTCCTCTCTCTCTGACCTGCTCCTCTCTCTCTCTCTGACCTGCTCCTCTCTCTCTCTGACCTGCTCCTCTCTCTCTGACCTGCTCCTCTCTCTCTCTGACCTGCTCCTCTCTGTCTTTGACCTGCTCCTCTCTCTCTCTCTGACCTGCTCCTCTCTCTCTCTCTTTGACCTGCTCCTCTCTCTCTCTCTGACCTGCTTCTCTCTCTCTCTCTCACCTGCTCCTCTCTCTCTCTCTGACCTGCTCCTCTCTCTCTTTGACCTGCTCCTCTCTCTCTCTCTGACCTGCTCCTCTCTCTCTCTGACCTGCTCCTCTCTCTCTCTCTCTGACCTGCTCCTCTCTCTCTGACCTGCTCCTCTCTCTCTCTCTGACCTGCTCCTCTCTCTCTGACCTGCTCCTCTCTCTCTCTCTCTGACCTGCTCCTCTCTCTCTCTGACCTGCTCCTCTCTCTCTCTCTGACCTGCTCTCTCTCTCTCTCTCCTCTCCTCTCTCTCCTCTCTCTCTCTCTGACCTGCTCCTCTCTCTCTCTGACCTGCTCCTCTCTCTTTCTGACCTGCTCCTCTCTCTCTCTGACCTGCTCCTCTCTCTCTCTGACCTGCTCCTCTCTCTCTCTCTGACCTGCTCTCTCTCTCTCTGACCTGCTCCTCTCTCTCTCTGACGTGCTCCTCTCTCTCTCTCTGACCTGCTCCTCTCTCTCTCTGACCTGCTCCTCTCTCTCTCTCTCTGACCTGCTCCTCTCTCTCTCTCTGACCTGCTCCTCTCTCTCTGACCTGCTCCTCTCTCTCTCTGACCTGCTCCTCTCTCTCTGACCTGCTCCTCTCTCTCTCTGACCTGCTCCTCTCTCTCTCTGACCTGCTCCTCTCTCTCTCTGACCTGCTCCTCTCTCTGTCTCTGACCTGCTCCTCTCTCTCTCTGACCTGCTCCTCTCTCTCTGACCTGCTCCTCTCTCTCTCTCTGACCTGCTCCTCTCTCTCTCTCTCTGACCTGCTCCTCTCTCTCTCTGACGTGCTCCTCTCTCTCTCTCTGACCTGCTCCTCTCTCTCTCTGACCTGCTCCTCTCTCTCTCTGACCTGCTCCTCTCTCTCTGACCTGCTCCTCTCTCTCTCTGACCTGCTCCTCTCTCTCTCTGACCTGCTCCTCTCTCTCTGACCTGCTCCTCTCTCTCTCTGACCTGCTCCTCTCTCTCTGACCTGCTCCTCTCTCTCTCTGACCTGCTCCTCTCTCTCTCTGACCTGCTCCTCTCTGTCTTTGACCTACTCCTCTCTCTCTCTTTGACCTGCTCCTCTCTCTCTCTCTGACCTGCTCCTCTCTCTCTCTCTGACCTGCTCCTCTCTCTCTCTGACCTGCTCCTCTCTCTCTTTGACCTGCTCCTCTCTCTCTCTCTGACCTGCTCCTCTCTCTCTCTCTGACCTGCTCCTCTCTCTCTCTCTGACCTGCTCCTCTCTCTCTCTCTCTGACCTGCTCCTCTCTCTCTGACCTGCTCCTCTCTCTCTCTCTGACCTGCTCCTCTCTCTCTCTGACCTGCTCCTCTCTCTCTGACCTGCTCCTCTCTCTCTCTGACCTGCTCCTCTCTCTCTGTCTCTGACCTGCTCCTCTCTCTCTCTGACCTGCTCCTCTCTCTCTCTCTGACCTGCTCCTCTCTCTCTCTCTGACCTGCTCCTCTCTCTCTCTCTGACCTGCTCCTCTCTCTCTCTCTGACCTGCTCCTCTCTCTCTCTCTGACCTGCTCCTCTCTCTCTCTGACCTGCTCTCTCTCTCTCTCTCTGACCTGCTCCTCTCTCTCTCTCTGACCTGCTCCCTCTCTCTCTCTCTGACCTGCTCCTCTCTCTCTCTCTGACCTGCTCCTCTCTCTCTCTCTGACCTGCTCCTCTCTCTCTCTGACCTGCTCCTCTCTCTTTCTGACCTGCTCCTCTCTCTCTCTGACCTGCTCCTCTCTCTGTCTCTGACCTGCTCCTCTCTCTCTCTGACCTGCTCCTCTCTCTCTCTGACCTGCCTCTCTCTCTCTCTCTCTGACCTGCTCCTCTCTCTCTCTCTGACCTGCTCCTCTCTCTCTCTCTGACCTGCTCCTCTCTCTCTCTCTACCCTGCTCCTCTCTCTCTCTCTGACCTGCTCCTCTCTCTCTCTCTGACCTGCTCCTCTCTCTCTCTCTGACCTGCTCCTCTCTCTCTCTCTGACCTGCTCCTCTCTCTCTCTGACCTGCTCCTCTCTCTCTCTGACCTGCTCCTCTCTCTGTCTCTGACCTGCTCCTCTCTCTCTCTCTGACCTGCTCCTCTCTCTCTCTCTGACCTGCTCCTCTCTCTCTCTCTGACCTGCTCCTCTCTCTCTCTGACCTGCTCCTCTCTCTTTCTGACCTGCTCCTCTCTCTCTCTGACCTGCTCCTCTCTCTCTCTGACCTGCTCCTCTCTCTCTCTCTGACCTGCTCCTCTCTCTCTGACCTGCTCCTCTCTCTCTCTGACGTGCTCCTCTCTCTCTCTCTGACCTGCTCCTCTCTCTCTCTGACCTGCTCCTCTCTCTCTGACCTGCTCCTCTCTCTCTCTGACCTGCTCCTCTCTCTCTGACCTGCTCCTCTCTCTCTCTGACCTGCTCCTCTCTCTCTCTGACCTGCCCCTCTCTCTCTCTGACCTGCTCCTCTCTCTCTCTCTGACCTGCTCCTCTCCCTCTCTCTGACCTGCTCCTCTCTCTCTCTCTGACCTGCTCCTCTCTCTCTCTCTGACCTGCTCCTCTCTCTCTCTGACCTGCTCCTCTCTCTCTCTCTGACCTGCTCCTCTCTCTCTCTCTGACCTGCTCCTCTCTCTCTCTGACCTGCTCCTCTCTCTCTCTGACCTGCTCCTCTCTCTCTCTCTTTGACCTGCTCCTCTCTCTCTCTCTGACCTGCTCCTCTCTCTCTCTCTGACCTGCTCCTCTCTCTCTCTCTGACCTGCTCCTCTCTCTCTCTGACCTGCTCCTCTCTCTCTCTGACCTGCTCCTCTCTCTCTCTCTGACCTGCTCCTCTCTCTCTCTGACCTGCTCCTCTCTCTCTCTCTGACCTGCTCCTCTCTCTCTCTCTGACCTGCTCCTCTCTCTCTCTCTGACCTGCTCCTCTCTCTTTCTGACCTGCTCCTCTCTCTCTCTGACCTGCTCCTCTCTCTCTCTGACC